ACCATTCCAGCTAGTCCTAATTTCAAGTTTTTCTTGCCTCTTATTTCTTTTCTACTCCTATGTTCCTTTCCTAGTTGATGTCCCTACTTTTCAGGCCTGTCATCCTGCCTCTCAATTTCAATCTTAATGTAATTTTAAACCACACCTAGTCCCTCAGCTGGAGTTTTCCACTTGAATCTCAAACTTAGGCACTGTATTCCACCATACTCAGCTTTCTTGACCACTTCTTACAGTCATCCTTGCCCCATTAAACTGTTTGGTAACTCTCAATCTTATTTTAACTCTCTGGGAATTCTTACCTAAAAACAGTCTCTCTCCTCAACTCTTCCCAGTCTATGATTGCAAGCTTTTCCCTATTACTTTGATCCAGAGAGGCTACCATTCCCTCTGAAACCCTTAGCAGCTAACTTAATTTCCCATTCTCAGCCTCTTCTCTACTCCCACCACTTGGCCCCATGGTTCTCTCACAATGCCAGCCTCCCTTCCGCATGCTAGTGTCAACAAAATAGGCTGTACAACCTCCAATCTGGCTTTATGCAGTTCAGAGCTCTCTTCAAAAGTCTTTTAAGGACTTAGCTGAATGTAAGAAAATAAGTTTGCCAGGCTGCAGCCTGACAGGCATAGCTAAGTCATGTTGTACTGGTAAGTATTTTTTCTTTGTTGTGGTTGGCTGTAGATTTCTAACTTGGGATAGTACCAATATCTCTTGTTAAGCTCTTTAGCCCTTTCTGATCTCTGAGAACTCTACAGTCACAGAGCAAATTTAAGAATAGAGAACAGTTCATGAAATATCATCAATAAGTAGAATAACGTTAGCAAAGCTACAGCAACAGAAGTCTTAAGAAAAGATGCTGTTATACATCTCCTTGTGCAATTATAGTCTGTATTTACCTTGTGTAATAACATTGTCAACGTATAGTCATATGCTACCAGAAGTCTACTGTGGTGGTAATAACTGAGTATATTGACAATATTTTCAGGGAAAATTAAACATAAAACAACCCCCACCAATGTCACAGTTAAAGGATTAAGTATGAATAGACAGAGCTAGATTGTACTGTGCTATAGGAGAGAGAAGCCTATCACAGCAACATCAACTGAGAACTATTATGCTTTCAAATACAAACTGCAACAAGCAACATTGTGATTCAGATCATCATGCTTTATTGTGCTCACCTACAAATAGTAAAGTACTTCTCTTTGTAGAAGCAGAATATATAAAGCTTGTGGTGGCTTTAAAAACCACTGCTTTGAATTTATTACTATTCTGGTATTTGTCAAAAGTGAATGGTCTTTAATTGGCATCCTGGAGTTGTGCAGAAGTCATTATGCAGGACTGCTTTAATGCCCCCTAAAGCCTAAGACAATACAGTTCCCATTGAAAAAAGACATCTTCACAACTTTCTAAATTTTACCAGAAGGGCTTGCTTCTTCCAAATGTTTAACTAGCTAAAACTTCCCCATGATACCACATGATTTTCTGGTACTCCCCTCTTAACCATTGCCAGCCCTCCTCTGTTGGTGAAGGAACATAAAAGCAGTCCCCACCTCTCACTGAGCAGAAGATACTCTGCTGCCCAAACCAACAGGAAGGAGATGTATCAAAACCAGAATTGCACCTCAATTATAAGTGTTACAGTTATTTTTAACACTAATTCTCTTCTATTTTCCATTGTATCTACCCCTTTAAATCTCCAAAACAATTCATTTCCTCCTACTGATTTTGTAATTTCCATTTGACAAAAACCGATTCCCTTGCACCCCTCTGTTTCATATCCAGATAAAATAAATAGAGTTTTAAGTTGTTTCCTTTCAGCCCTAGCAAGAGCAAAGATGGCAACAGAGCTCTGGGAATCTTGCAAAAGTTGTCAGTTAGCACCCTAATAGCAGAAGAAGTGTATTCTGAATTTTATTGTTTTTTTGTTTTTTACTTTTTTTCCCCAATAATTAAGAACGAGATGTATAAATGGATGAAAGCAAGAAAACTGTGACAGCTTTATAAACAGAAGTTAATAAAAATCTTTACCTAATTCAAGACATTCTACATAACTGAGTTCCATTCTCTACCACACTAAAATGGAGCTATGGTGTATTATTATTTAAAATTCTATACATTTTCTCACAAGGAGAGAGTAATCCACTCATGTCTTCACAGAGCCTTGTTGTCCATTTAAAGTTTGGAAATAAGCTTGCCCTATGTGATTAAGACAGATCTGAAGGCATGGAGACTTGAAGACCTGAAAATCTAAGTCACTTACTGTCTTCTTCTCTCCCTTACTTAATAACCACTTCCATGAAATTAATGAACCAATGTTTTCCATTGCTTGAAAATTTTTCCTGATAAAATATCCAGGATGACAGGCAAAAGTGGTATACCTAATGCAGGTGGAAACTGAAACAACCATAGATTAATAGGATCCACAATAATTTTGGAATTTTGGAACTGTGTACTCCTGGTATTTGTGTACCCTGGTATTCCTGTACGCCTCTACCCATCTGGATGCAGTCCTGTGCAATGTGCCCTAGGTGATCCTGCTTTAGTGGGGGAGATGGACTAGATGATCTCTAGAGATCCCTTCCAACTCCAACAATTCTGTGATTTTTTGAAATGTCAGTCTGCACTGTCATGGCACATCTAATTCAAAAACCATTAATGTGCTTTTTCACGCAGCACCACCTTTGTGTACGTGTCAGTCTAGGTATTGTCTGTGAAAATTTCTATTGTTTATGCTTCCACAGTTACCAAATGTTTTGTCTGTAAACTACACTTACTGAAATTGGTATGGAACACAATTGGAAAACTGAATTGGAAAACCTTCTTGTAAGACATAAGTAAAGAATGCCATGTTTTTGATCAGCTCTTAAAAACAGTTTTATCTATCCTGGCAAATCAAAGACAGAAAATGCATGAGTAGTAAGCATTTATCATGGGTCTTTTAAGGAAACTGTTGTCTTTTATGATTCATGCTTATGTTCTGGAATGAGATATCCAAAAAAAGGAAAACAAGATAATTCTGTGGAACAGTCATTCTTTAAAGTTTACAGAACAAGATGCATTGTTTACTTAATTCCAGAATATTGAATAAGGTGCCTTAATTGCTCTGACATTTCCAGCACCACTCAGAGTGAAGCATCTCATTGGTCAGCATCCAGATGTCTGAAAGTTTATCTCCCTTATGCTGGTCAGTGTCTTTTTAACTGATCTTTAACCATTCTTAACATCCAGATGGGAATAACAATTGCAATTTTCAGTTGTTGATGGACTTGTTGAAGAACAGGCACTATATGAAAGTTGAGGATCATGTTTAATTAACAGACAATGAAATTTCATGTTGAGTAGCAACTAGAAGCTCTTACACTAAATGTTTTCTAAAAAAGAATAAAGCAAATACAGTACTTAGTGATAGTCCACTGAAGTACTTGTTCATTCCTATTTGGAATAGTATGTATTATAGAAATTATAAAATTCTCAAGATAATAAAGGCTTTTAAGGAAACATTTTCATGTGTCCTACTGGCATTATATTTTGTAACTTCACTAATTTATGAAGATTTGTATCAATATAGCTGAAAGCATCTTTGCAATATAAAACCTCATTTTTCAGGAAGGCAAAATACTGGCTCAGCTCTGAGTGAAAAGTTTTTAATACAGGAAGATCCTTGAAAAATATACATTTGATTCTGGTAGTATGATGTGTTATAGTAGTATGATGTATTATAGCGGGATGTTTGCGCAGATGCAGAAAAAGTGGTCTCTGTTTCCCTCCATCCATCCAGAGTATCCCATTTCTGGTACAGAAATCTATTATAATTTTACCTGATTTTAAGATATATGTCATTTAATATTTAGGATTTATCTAATAAATATTTAAGCAACCCTGACATGACTAACTAGGAGAGGGAAGGACTCGGTAGTTGTGTTTTTAAGGTGTCAGCAAGCTCGCTCCAGCCGTGGCATGCAATGCCTTAATAACCTAGGACATAGGAACTGAGGTAATTCTCTGTCTATCTAAAGCCCAAACCTTTTTAAGAACAGGTGTGTCTTGTGCTTACAGCAGTTCCCTAACTCTTGCAACTGTATAAACAATAACAGTTCTAACAAAAAAACCCAAACAAACTACAGTTCTTCCAGGAGCACGCACAGAGGGAAACAGAAGAATCTGATGAGGTTTTGGGATATCATTCTACTTATTTTGGGTGTAAGTCACTCTTTACTACTTATTAGAATAAAACTATTTACCTGTGTATAGGATTTGCATTTGACACTATTTCTCACCCTATAATAATATTTTTTTCTCTGTACAATGTACATTTTAAGATGTTTTTTTCCCATCAAAATTATTTCTATTCATCAGTTTTCCCATTTTTAAGTAAAAAGCTATGATTAAAAGCACTTCATGTGTGAAACAAAGCTCCATGAGAAAAATATGAAAAGAACAATACAAACACGAAGTGTTGTGCTACTCCTAAGCTGAGTCCAACTGTTTACAGAAAATGTTCTGCACCAAATGTACCAGAGGTGACCACCGGGGTTCAATTCTGATCAACACTAGAGTAAGGTTATGCAATTTCCATCAAAATTAGAAATAGAAAGCTGTATAAGCATTATTGTCTCTTGCCTCCTACCAAACCATCAGAAACTTGTGTGTAATGCCTCTATTCCAAACAGACAGATACAGAAAACATTTCATAACTGCTGTGAATTTACCAGAAAACCACCTCTGGATGCTGAATCAACTTAACAGATAAGAGTGAGAATATGAATTTACTTTGAAAGTTTACAGCCATCTCCACAATTTCATAAAAAATACTGCAGGGCTGTTTCTCAACTCCAACTCTCAGAGAATAAAAATGAGACCAGGACAGCCCCAATATCAAACCATTCAGGATCTTTGCACACATGAACAGAGTCGGCTCAAGTATGGTCATCCGGGAAAAGTAGCAAAACAGTTCAAAAACTATATTAACAGGGCAACAAGAAAAGAGCTTACTGCCTCTCACCTTTTTCTTCATTTTTACATTTTTGAAAATTGCATGAACTCTCCATGTTTTTGCAAACATTGCTCCAAATGCAGTTGTGTATCCCACTGTGAGAATCCATGTTCGAACCTAAAAATATATATATATATAAAAGACAAAGTCGTTTAATTTTCAGTAGACAATGTGGATATAATTTCAGCCAACATTTTTCTCAAGACTTCAAGAAAAAAATACTCATTTCAGAATTGTCTCATTCATTGCTTTTTTTCCTTTTATTTCTCCTCTCTCTATCCCTTCTCCAAGTATAAAAAATTTGGATACTGAATTAACAATCTCTTCCATACATAAAACCACAACTCTCTCTGTTACAATACACTGCATTTTAATTTTTTTTTCACTTTTATTGTGAAAGTCTGGTTTTTAGTAAGCATTAGTGACTGGGTATCGAGGTAGGAAAAAACAACAACAAAAAAGATGGCTTACTCAAAAAATGTTGATAAAGCAATAAGAGACATAAAATTACTACAGTTCCTTAAACTAACTAAAGAAAGAGGATTTTTATAGTCAATAATGGTGCATTAGAGAGAGAATGTATATACAGAGCAGGCACCTTGGGTTTTAGCAGAGGAATGTATACAAACGGACACCCAAAGCTTCCTGAGAGGGCATATGCCCAAAAATTGGCAACACTGTGCACCATGCAGTGACAAACACCTCGAGTGCTCAAGTGTGAACTTGGAGGGTGTTGTCTCACTGGCATAGGCACTACAAGATTACAAAGACACACACAAAGGCAGAGCACCCACATCTATGGGATGGGTGTCTACAGGGCAACCTGTACACCAGAAGAAAGGATGTGCTGGTAACGCACGTGTCCTATGAGCAGCAGGTGTCACTCAGAGTGTGTGTTTATTAGAAAACACTGGGATTACCGATAAAAGACTGTTTAGATACGTGTATGTATATATTAACATTTTATTAGCATTTAAAGTGCTTTATGTATTGCATTGCTGATATTGACCCTAAATATACTGATTGCTGTTTAATCTTGTTATTAATAAAATCAGCAAACTGACTGTGATTAGATTCAAACCACATGAGCTATGCCACTTTGTGATTTTCTTGAATGTGATACTGAAAAAGAAACTCATAACCAAAAGAAATGGGAAAAGATATTTAGAGCAGTGAAGTGATATTTAATATTTTTGTAAGTCTTTGCTCATTATCTATTATCACACATTATGCTAATAGCATGAGAGGAGCTACAGTTAAATCAACTCTGAGTGATTTCAAAAATACATTTCATATCAACAGGTTCATATCAGCCAGTTACATCTTTTTTTTTGACTGCATATCAACTGAGCTGTGATAACCATTCTTAGCATTCAATCTTTTTGCTGCTATTAATAAGTATTCAGCTCCTTTGTGTACAGTTTAGTGATATATTTGGCAAACAGATACATGGTATTTTCATGTCTCTAATAAGACTGTTTTGTTCTCACAGAAACAGTAATTGCCTGTTAGGAATAGTAATAAATTCAATTACCCTCACAATATGTTTCAAACTAGATAGTCAGAAAAATGTTATTTCTAGCACGTTTGATTCAAAAGCTCCTATGTATTCCTGATCTGGATTATGGAAATTAGAATAATGTAACTATTGCCTATATTGGAAACATTCTTAAACATATCAGATTTTGTCAACATGTGATAGCTGCTGCTAAGAATGAGACAGTAAGTTTCAGATTAAAATAAATCTTTAATTTTGAAGAAAAAGTTCCTTGAACTTTTCAGCTATAATTCATTAATGCAGCCAGCAAAATGATAAATCTAGAAAACAGAAAAATCCTCTCAAATTCATATATCTGCCCATCTATCTTCCTAAATGTATTACACCTCCAAATCCTACTCATTTGAAAGACCATGATAAAAATAACATCAATAACTGGGGAGCATTACCATGATGTTATACAATCAATCAGTAATTCTCTGATGTCAAAAGTTTTCAATTATGCATTTTGACAGCAGAGGTAAAGGAAGATCAGCCTCCTGCCAGTGCCCACCAAATGAGCAGAAAATGCACCTTTTGTGAAGACTGGAAACTTGCATCAAAATCCCTACTCCAAACGAGACACAAAACTTGAAGACAACCCTTCCTATAGAAGGATACTTTGTAAAGATAAGTTATTGTTTATTTTTTTCTTAAAAGGTTAGGTCATTGCAAAATTCCTCATGCCTTCCCTGAATTTTATGCTATACTTTCAAGTATCTGCATATATTTCTTGATGACTTCTTCGTTTTTGTTTTGTTTTTTTTAATAACATGTTTTGACTAATTTAATATCTCCTACTTTTGTTTTTGTTGGGTTTGTATCATTCAAAGTCCACTTGAAAGTGTCAAAGGAGATAATATTGTATGGTCTTCAACAATCAAGCATGCCTATGCAGATGCTAAAAGGCAATGACCTAATTCTCTTTTCTTCATACTTCCCACATTATTTTGGTTTAGGGTCTATTTTTGAAAATACTATGTATGCACTCATGATTGGAATGCGTGCTCTTTGTAAATTACTTGATAGAAGCTCTTACAGTTGCATTACCTTTGACAGCTGAAAAAGCTAGAAATAATTTATTTAGTAGACAACACAGTTGATGACCAAACAATACTGGAAGTTTCTCCACAAAAAAACCCCCCACCATTCTGGATAATTTTCCAGACTTGTAACAGATACAGTTGTTATTTAAAGGAAACAAAAAATCATATTTGTAAAATATTAATGTTTAAACAACTGTTGTACAGTTCAGCTAGAGAGTCACTGCATTTATCACAGAATCATAGAATTGTTTTGTTTGGAAGAGACTTTTAAGATCATCAAGTTCAACCATTAATCCAGCACTGCCAAGCTCATCACTAAAGCATGTCCCTAACTAAGCGCCGTATCTACAAATCTTTTAAATATCTCCAGGGATAATGACTCAACCACTTCCCTGGGCAGCCTGTTCCAGTGTCTAACAACCCTTTCAGTCACAGAATAAGTACTGATAGCTTAACAGCCTTATATAAAGTTACTTCCATTTGAATTATATTTCCTCTCAGCCTTTAGCTGGCTAGCCTACATTTTGAATGATGCTATTTGATATCTTCACACAAATCTGTCTGCACCTTTCCCATCATCTTGTTATGTGAATGGTGAAGTGGTTGCTATTTATATATCTGTGTAATATACCTACCAAAAAAATATTTTGTGTTACAACTCATTAATAATAAAAGAAGCCATCTAATTTTGAACAATGAGTTAGTAAGAGGAAATTAGGAAGTCATGAAAGCATCAAAAACATCCCCAACAAAGATGTAAAAGTCTCTCCTTGTTTATATACTTCAAGAATGAAGTTTACAAACAACACCACTGGTTTTGGTAGTCTTACCCTTCACATAAACAACATTATTTACATTTGTTTAAAATAATTTATTTCAATACACTTAAAATTCTAGATAAAGTTATAAAATAAGGTTATCTTGGAAAACAGACTGAATTGATGAAAGGTAAAAAAAAAAATCACTTTTAAAGAATTTGCATGATTTTCCCATGTTTGACCACTACTGCATATGCATTCATAAGACCACAAAGTCATGAACTGACAAGGAATGCCTGGGAAAGTACTGAACTCAGGAAAGCAATAATAAATATTTCCAATGCAGCTGATCAAGAAAGTGATGGTTTTTACTCCTCTATTAAGTTGAAAGAAAAAAAACAAGCAACAACAACAACAACACCACAACAAAGCCCCTCCCACAAGTTTCTGAACTGAATATACTGCGCACTGTCTATTTGGTATTGCAGCCTTAAATTTGCTATACTAACCCAGTTTGCCAGCATCAAGCAAACAGCAAGAACATGAGTTTAAAGACTCAGAATGATGGATAAGGAAAACTAAATATCACTACAAAGAATTTTCAAGTGTTGCATGAAAAACTACAAATATCACCTGTCCAGGTGATGACTTTTTTTTTTTTTTAGAAAAAAAGTTATTAGAATAGGATAGTGAAACAATTTCATTCTTTAAAATTTATTTGCCTTTAGCAAAATATTTAGATTATGTTCTTGCAGAGGAATCACTCAGATTTAAGGTTCTCAAAAGGACCATTTTTATCATCTCAAGACCTTATATGTAATGATTTCTTCTAAATAAAACTTTCTAATCTTTCATAGGACTTGACACTCCAGAAACTCTCCAGCTTAGTTTATGAGACTCAGGCTGATTCATTTTGGGAATATCCGTAATTACCCAGTTTTGCACATGCACCAGGTTAGAAGCTGCAGTGCCCACAAGGGTTAGGCTGCAGTTGAACATCAGTGCTGAGTAGCTTGGTGGCCTCTTAGTATTAGAATTAGGCACTTAAAAGTGCCAAACATAAGAATAAACTATGCTGTTGGTTTAGCCCTGGCGAGCATAATTATCTTTTGATTTCTATGGTCTCTTCATGAGTTGAAAATTAAGCACTTCTATTTTTCTTGGCAAATGCGGGACTTAGAGGATAATTGTGATGGACAAAAGTATGTCATCTCAACAAGTTTTCACCAGTGCTTGATCCTGCTTCTATTAACCATGGCAAAATCCTCACACAGGCAGGCCTCAAAGAATGAGTTCATCCATTTGAATGATACTTTTCTCATTTATATCACAGAATCAATTTTTATTTTGCACATTGTGCTGGTTTTGGCTAGAATAGACTTCATTTTCTTCATAGTAGCTTGTATGGGGCTATGTTTGGGATTTGTGCTGAAAATAGAGTTGATAATACTGGGAATTAGCAGCTTTTGCTGAACAGTGCTCACACAGGGTGCTTATACCCCCAACACCGAGGAGGCTGTTGGTGCACAAGAAGTTGGGAGGGAACAGAGCCCAGACAGCTGACCCCAGCTGACCAAAGGGAAATCCCATTCCATATGACATGCTCTGCACATGAAGCTCAGGAAGAAGAAGGAAGGGGGGAGACAGATTCGGAGTTATGGTGTTTGTCTTCCAAGTAACCATAATATTACACACAGAATCATACACATAATAGTCATGCTTGGAAAGGACCTCTGAGATCGCTGAGTCCAACCATAAAAACCACAAACACACAAC